CCCGGGGAGCGAGGGCCAGCCACAGCTTCTCTGGGCACCCTGTGCCAGGGCCTCAGCACCCTCACAGGGAAGGATTTCTGCCCCAGATCTCATCTCCATCTCCCCTCCTTCAGCTTCAGGCCATTCCCCCTTGGCCTGTCCCTCCCTGCCCTTGTCACCAGCCCCTCTCCAGCTTTCCTGGAGCCCCTGCAGGGACTGGAAGGGGCTCTGAGGTCTCCCCGGAGCCTTCTCTTCTCCAGGCTGAACCACCCCAACTCTCTCAGTGTGTCTCCATAGCAGAGGTGCTCCAGCCCTCGGATCATCTCCGTGGCCTCCTCTGGCCTAACTCCAACGGCTCCATGTCCTTCTTGTCCTGGGGACCCCAGAGCTGGACACGGTACTGCCAGGGGGGGTGTCTCATGAGAGGAGAGTAGAGGGGCACTATCCCCTCCCTTGACCTGTTGATCATGCTGCTGGTGATGCAGCACAGAACGTGGTTGGCTTTCTGGGCTGTGAGCACACATTGCTGGCTCGTGTTGAGCTTCTCATCAACCAACACCCCCAAGTGCTGGAATAGGGGAAGAAATGTTCTGCTAATTTAGTTTAAATTCTCTTTCACTTTTCCTGCCCGTTGAAATTTCTGTGTGAAATACTGCACTTCATGGTTTTTACATCTCATTTGGCTTTTTAAGTTTATAAGAGAATTTGTAGTTAGCTTGTTAACTTGGGGGCTCTTTTGAATAATTGCTGCTATGTTACTGTTTTGTATAGAGTCCCCTGTCTCAAAAAATACAACTGTAGATCATGCAGCTTCTACCATTTGGTTGGAGGCTGTTTTTAATGGCACGTACGGTTTTTATGCAAAGCAGGAGAACAGAGGCCAGCAGCATCGGTTACAGAGAGCGTATGACAGGAGTCTGACTGCATCTCATAGTTGAAGCAGATTGAACATTATGATGTGCTTTCACTGAAGCATACTGTTTGACTTGAGCTGGACTTTGCTGCACTGTAATACTCTGACCTTGTACATCACTGAGAAATTATACTTCATTGTATCTCGAAGCTGCATGTTACTTGTTTTCAAGCTGCACTTCTAGGCTAGGAAGAAATGGTTTTAAAAAAAAAATAATTTAGGCTTGCCTTGGTACCCAGTTTGGATAGTTTTTGATGAGATTAACAAAAGTGCTGCTGCCTCTTTTCAAATGAAGTAAAGGCTTTACTCAGCATGAGTTGGTCATGAGTTGATAGACTTAAAAATGTCAACTCCATCTCAAATACATTTCCATATACTAGCATTTCATGGTAAATACTAATAAGAACATGTAGGACTGAATTTTTCAACACTCTTCTTGGTTAGCTGTAGGCTGGATGTTAAACTCTTAATGCTTCTTGAGTGATTGCAGTTCAACAGTGTCAGAAGTGAGGACGTGGCAAGTTTGATATTTGCATAAAACCTAGATAAAATTGTTTTGCTAAACTCACAGGATCAGTAACCGAAGTGCATCGTTAAGGTTTTTTGTGCTTAAAAAAAAAAGGGCAAAACAGATCTGTTGTTGCTAGTTCACAGTATTACAGCTAGTTTATTATGGGGATAATGAGGGAAAATAGCTGCTAGATGGTGAAAGGGTCACAGAGTTCTGTTAGATGCCACTGCTGGCAGGTTGCAGTATAGGTGATGTGCTTCCTGGGGTGTATTGTCCTTCACTTAGTGGAAAAGAGCGAGCACTCCTCTGCTGGAGAGCCAGGTTGTTCCTGTCCCTGTCTTCATTGCAGGGGGGGAAGTGAAACATTCAGATGTCAGAGGAGCTTTGTACATGTGCACGTTTCTCTTTCAAACCTTTAGCATTTCAATTAGATGAACTAAAATTATTGCTCATTAGTTAAGGAGTGCAAAAGGATGCTGAAAATCTGTGAACCTCTTTGTTTCCCCCAATGCTTCTGACTCTGGGGCCATCTGTAAACTCCTTCTCCCCTTTGCTTCCTCCCTGGAACTTCGGGCCCACGCGCACGGGTGGGTGAGGAGAATCACCACTTGGACACGAGAACAGGGGAAGGAATAGTGCAGTTTGCTTTCTGTTTCATTCATATTAAACACATGCATTGTCCAACCTCAATTTATAATTTAAAATACAATGATTTCTTGATTTTTAAAAAATTTTTTTTAAGATAGTTTTTGGTTGTTTTTTTTTTAAGTGCCTTCTAACAGTAGGATAAACTTAATTTACTTCCCTGGTCTGAATTCCTCATAACATTTTTCATTGAGGGAGCTGCACAGTCATCAATCACTTACATGTTATTTTCATATGCAACAGTGCCTTGAATAGTTTAGTAGTATTCTTTTATAATTGTAATTAGCACCATTAAATACTACTTTAAATGTAATTAAAATATTATGCATTATTCCTTGTCCCCAACCAAGTTCTTGATTATGTGAGTCATTCTGAAAGGATACACAACTGTAAGGAAACAACATTGTCTTCATTCTCATTGCCTCAGGTATTACAGAACTATTCTTTTTGATAGGAATCAAACATAAGTTAGTTATGGGGTTTTTTGCTTTTTTTTGGTGGGGTGGTTTTTTTTTTTTGTTTGTTTTTTGCTTTTGCATAAGCTGTAACGGTGGAAATGACCCACGGTATATTCTTAAGAGTAAATAATCTTTGAAGTACAGGGTTTTTTTGTATTTTTGAAAATCTTGCCTGACCACCTCCTGGCAATATTGTTTACTGTAATTGGAAGAAAATTGTATGAGTTTAAAAGAGGACGTGAAGAACACTTGTCCATGCAAAGAATTCATCTTAGATGAAGAACTCGATGCCACGTTCTCTGTGCCTAATGACCATCTGATCTTATACCTGTATAATATTAGTGAAATAAACTTTATGGAAGAGGACATTATTTGTGATACTGATTTGTCTGTGCTTTTTTTTACTTCCACAAGAGGAAAGTGGTGGGCAAGTGTAGGGAATTAAGAGAAAATCACACTTGAAGTGTTCTGAGATTGCTGAAAGGAATGGAGACGTCCTTCCAGCCAGTTAGGTTTTGGTAGGCTTACTGCTGCTCAGACACTGGCATCAGATAAAGCTTACCTGTTTGATTTGCTGAATATGGTATAAATGTGTCAACATGTGAGTAGAGGGGAGCGAGCTTAAGAGACAGATGTCATCTGCACAGAAGTGATGCTGGAGACTGATGATGGCTTTGAGATGTCATGGGGGAAAATCGATAAGGGCCAAAATAGAATCCTTAATGTGAGGAAGGTGATAACTACCAACGATGAGAATTCAGGCTTTAATCTGGAGACCTTCTAGTGGTCAAGAGCTGGGTTTGAATAATTGTCATTCTGGAAGAACGGGGTAGGCATTTTGTAAAACAGATAATAGTTATCAAATGGATTCTAGTTTGAGACTTAATCCTTGTGTATAGCTCGTAATAACCTCCACTTCTCAATTATTCCTTTGTAACGTTGACATGGTAATTTCAATTTTATGTGTGTCCTCTGGAGCATTTGACACACACTTCATATTTAAAGAACTTTTAGGGTTCTTTGCCAGGAATACTGGAGCAGTTTTTTATAAAATGTGAGAAGCAGGATATTGGTGTTTTCCAGTTAAAGGAAGCTGGCTTCCTCGGCAATAGGGGGTTCTAAGGCCCCCTTTTCTTGTAAAGTTGTTGTTTTTAATCTGTTTTATTTGGCAGTCATTCTTCAAAATTCAGGATTGTGTTGCAGACTAACTGCCTAGCAACTTTTGTTTAATAATTATATGAGAAACTGCTGTTAGAATTGATTGTTAGTGAGATACTTTCAGTCTCCATAAATGAGACTGGAAGGAGATGATAATCTAGTGACTGTTTTCCTGGTACCTCCTCACAATACTTGTCATTTTTCTGTCATCTGCCCCATGATTACCTTGACAGATAGAGGAGACTTTAGTAGACAACTGTAAACTTAACCTGGTTAAGATGTTGGTTAAGTTCTCCTCCTTTTGCATGCCTTGTTCCATCCGCTGTCTACCATCCAGTAGTTTCAGTCAACAGAGCTTCAGGGAAACTTTAATTTTCTTCTGCAGATCTTTTTGAAGTAAAATAGTCTATAGATTCAAACCGGAGAGAGACATGGCCACACAGAAGCATAGGAAGGTGGTCAGTCACTGCTTTATTGACTTTCTGTAAGTATTTGAATGAGTAATGGTATAAGCTGTGGCTCACTGTGCTTGAGAAGGGCTTTTTGTTCAACTTGGATGAATTTGTATGCAAGCTATAATTCAGAAATCGGCTTAAAAATTGGAGGAGTAAAACTTGCATCCAGGTACGATAAATCTAGTCAATATTCTGATGCTGACGATCATGATGAGAAAAGCCCTGTAAGATTTTTAAAGTAAGAAGCAGATCAATCAGTAATATCGGTACAAAGATGGTAGAACCTTGATTACTCTATTGCCTGGAGAGTGGATTTGTCGATAGATTTGGCGTAGTAGGAAAAGAATTTACTTTTAACATGAAAGTGAAGGCTGGAACAAAAGAGCAGGATTGACGGATTTTGTGGAAGGAAAATCATGTCAGCAAGTTAAAGAGTTTTTGTGTTAACCTTGCTTGTTAATCAAGATAATTCATCTGAACAGGATATTTGAGGAAGATTACTCACAGCAAGATTAGCCATAGGAAATAATATCAAGGGCCTGGAGGAACTTTTGAAGCCAA